TGTGTGTGTGTGTGTGTGTGTGTGTGTGTGTGTGTGTGTGTGTGTGTGTGTGTGTGTGTGTTTGTGTGTGGTTTTTAGATCAGAATGCATTTTCTGAAAAAAAAAAGCCCTTTGCATGTGTCAAAATAAAACAAATTATGGAACATTTTCAAAAATTAAGTGACAAGGGTGTGTACTTCTGCAGTTCAGAACCCCATGAATGTGTGGAGATTGTCACACGAAGGCTTGCTGCACAGTGAGATAAGGCCTTCAGACTTCATCTCAATCCTGCATCCAGTGTGTTTACAATTAAGTCCTGTCTGCATATTCAACAAAGTGTTCTGTGTCAACTCTAATAACTATTTGAAATGTTTCAAAAGAATATCAAGCTTTCTTACTAAAAGCCAAAGCTTTAACTTTTATCCTTCAAGTGGAAGTGGACCTTTCAACAAGACATTGATCCTCAGCACATACAGTATTAAAAAAATAGGAACCAAAGTCCAAACCTATTACAGTGGAATGTCACAGATGTATGGGGGTTTAGATTTAGGACTAAGATGTAAATTGAGGAGTGGTGTGGGTTAGTTATGTACTGGTTTAGGGTGGATCAGGGTCAGGGTTAGGCTACAGAAATTGATAAAATTCAACACACGGTCCTCATAAGAATAGAAATATAGTCTGGGATGGGGTGGGCTGCATCATTTCTAAATAATCAATTGTGCTGACGTTCTGGATAGAAAAGGGTAGATTGGTGTTGCACAATATGTTTTTGAGAAAACAACCTATGATGTCACATCATCACTTTGTTTATTTAAAGAAAATCTATCTTGAAATGTCTCAGTCTGCTGCAGCACATATTTTTTTTAACCTGACAATTTGCAAAATAACTGCTTCTCAGCACTTAATGGTAAAAAAATAATAAGTGCATTTTTTATAAGTGTTATAAGCTCAGACTGCTCTGCTGCTGTCTTTAGTCACTCTCTTCTTGTGATTATAATTATTTCCATCAGTAACTTTGTTTCTTTTGTAATGAAAAATTACACCTGGACCAATCATTCTGTGTTTGTCTCCGTCTCTTTCCTGTCCTCTCAAACCCAACTGGTCAGAGCAGATGGCCGCTTGTCCGACTCCAGAGTCTGGTTCTGCTGGAGGTTTCTTTCTGTTAAAATTTGAAACTAGATACCGCATAGCGGTAACATGATGACCCCCGCATGCACAAATGCACCAGAACTCAGAAGTCCTTATTCCTAATAAATGTCATGCTACTAGGTGCATCCCAAAATTGTAGTGGCTTGGGTGGGGGTCTTTTGTGTGTGTGTCCTTGTTTTTCCTACATCGTAGGACCCAGTTTTAAGGAAAACGCAGCTTTGTGGGGTCCGGGTGCTCCTTGTGGGGCCCAAAGCCTGGCCCCCACAACTTCAGAGGCTGATTTTGGGTTGGGGTTTGGGTTTAGGACCAAGGTGTGAATTGAGTTTAGGTTAGTTTTAGGGTCAGGTAGGTACCTGTGAGGTTAGCCTTAAGGGTTTGTGGTCAGGGTTAGGACATAAAATTACCAAAAAATGAATGGAAGTCAATGGATGGGCCCCACAAGGATATAAAAACAA